GAGCTAGGGTTCTGCGAGAGAAATTTGGGTTCTTTTTTCGCGAGAGAGAAATTTTTTTATCAATGTTTTTTTTTCATTCTACTTTTTTTATCTATGATTTTATTAATATTTTATTTTTATTTTTGACCTATTCAATAATTTAATTTTTTTTAGTTGATATAAAGAACGTTAAGGGTATGTAAACAATATATAAATTAGAAAAATTTAATAAAATTATGGAAAATATAGTTTTTGAATGTAAGAGAGAATATTATTTTAAGGTTTGTAAATAAAATAAGTTTTATTACATAAGTGTAAAATAAATAATACACCAACGAAAGTATCATCTCTAATTTTCAAGTATCAAATTTTACTATAGATATTTTTTGTGACAGTATTAAAAAAATTAAAGAGGAACAATTTAGTGAACATGCATATGTTTAAGAATGATTGAATCAAGAACATAAAAAAATATTAATTTTTTATGGAAAAAATATTAGTTAAGTGAAAATATATAATCATAATACTTTGTTTGTGCCTTTTGTTTTTATAAAATCTCTATCATTTCGTCAAAAAAAATACTTTGTTTAAACTATTCACTAAAAAATATGCATGATACAATTTAAGTTTATCTGTTAGTAGTTGTACAGTATAAATGTTCTTTTGTGAAAATATATGTTACATAAATTAATCTACTATTTATTTTGATTGTAATAGAAATCAAAATATAATAATTATAAAAATAAAATAATCTTGAATTTCAAAATATGTGTACTCGTTAGAAAATATATAATTATAATTAAAATTAGTTCAAAAATAAATATTGCATTTACTTTAAATTTACATCATTAGACAATCTTATTATAAATCATAGATTAATTTAAATTTTCAAATCACTTCTCAAAACTAGGATACATAAACCTTGTAAAAATATTGACAAATATATAAAATAATGTTAAGATAAATATAAAATATGAAAGAATCATTATTTTAGAATTTATTGAAAATAAATTTATTATTTTTTTCATTTTTTGGATAGTCTTGAAAATCCATGACGAAAATGATAATGCATGCATGACAATGTTAGGAGATGTAACAATAATTTATTTTGGACAATATATATAGATAGGTACCTCAATCAACCAATGTTACGGTAAAATATATAGATAGATGAGAACCTTTAATCAATCAAGGACGTTATTATTCCTAATAATTTTCAAGTAATTTTTTTTAAAAAATATTTACAACTTTAAAGATATTTTCAAATATTTATATCTCTTATATCATTATATACAAAGAGAAAATATACATCAAAATATTACGAAATATTACACGTGCAAATATAATTGAATCTGCAACCGTTATAATCAAAATAATAGAGAACGAAACATTCAACCATAGTGTTAGCTTCCAATCAACAATAAGCAAATGATAATTACAAATTATAGTTATAGTAAATTAGAGTTATTTTTCAAATAGTAAGACGCAAAAGAAAGAAATTAAAATAATATTTTACAAACTAACAACTACTAGTCATAGAGAAAGTTAGAGAGAAGGGAGTGTTTCTCTCACTAGGGTTCTTGAATCCTAGGGCTTTCAATTTGATTTTCACCTCTTGATTTGTAGTATTGTTCTTCCAAATTCACTCACGAATTAATTTATTATATTCCGAAATTATTAAGCCTGATTTCATCCACTTTGAGTGAAAGTATTAGCACCTGGGAGCTATTTCCATTTTGCAGAATATCTTAGTTCGTGAATTTGCAGCACTACTTGGCGCAAGAAACCAGCGATGAGCGCCGCCTAAATCGCTGCTACGACGAGCTGCGAATAGTTTGCTGTCCGTCCGACAACATGCCTAGGTCCAAGAATAGAACAAATTTTCACCGCCTGCTACTTGACAATGTTGAGGAAATCGATGCCACTAACACCATTGAAGAAGCAAACGTGACCAAGCAATTTGCCAATGAAACAGAAAATGAAAATGTAATTTGTCTTGCTGCGGCTAGTTCAGATTCTAAGAAGCAAATTATTGAAGAAAATATTGCAAATAATATTATTAACATGGACCTAGCTGCAGTCATGAATGAGGGGAAAGAGAACAACCAAAATCTAGCTACAAGTGAAGCTCAAAATAACACCCTCAAGGTGTTTGATGAAATAACTCAAAGGGAAAAGGAAAAAGTTAACAAGGTGAACTCCCAACAAGATGCTACAACACAAAAGAGGCCCTTCTCAGCCCTCTTTGCCGATAACCGCAAGGCCTCCCTTGGCCTCAAGTTGGAGTATGTCCCCCCGGTTGAGGGAGGAGCGTTTCTTGAGGAAGACGACATATCCGAGCTAACGAAAAAATGGGGATTTTGCCTCGTTGGGTATTTTACCCAAAGGCACCCGGCAAGGAGGCACTTCTAAAACTTTGCAAGTCTTGGAATGTGGAGTTCGACATCGCCCCAAATGTCAACGGATGGATTGTCTTTAAATTCAAAACCGAGGCGGATAGAGTGAAAGTTCTCCAAGGCGGGCCTTACACTAGCTACGGGAAAGGGTTAATCTTGATGAAGCTCCCCAATTGGTTTCAATTCGGAGATGATGACATCAAAGTGGTCCCCGTTTGGATCAACCTCCCGTTTCTCCCTGGTGAGTGTTGGAACCCCAAGGCTATTGCCAAAATAGCCTCTTGTGTCGGAAAACCCATCACCACCGACAAGCTAACGGCGACATGCGCAAGAAGGAACTATGCTCGGATGTTGGTAGAGCTAGACCTCTCCAAGGAGCGAACACTTAGCGTCCCCGTCAAAGGCAAGGAAGGGCTTTTATTCGAGCAAAAGGTGGAGTACGAATATGTACCCCATTATTGCTCCCATTGCAACTACATTGGTCATTCCCTCTCCAAATACGGAAAGTATGCGGCCCACAAAAAGGGAAAAAAAGTGAATGAGGAGCCGGAGGAAATTGTGAAGGAGGGACACTTGGAGAAAGTGGAGGAGAATTGCACCAAAGCCAATGGCCCCGAAAAGAAGAAAGCAAAGGCTACAAAAGAAAGTGATAATGACAAACAAGCAAGTCAAGGTAGTAGCTCTAAGCAAGAGAGTACCAAGGAAGGAAGCAATGATGCAAATTCTTGCCCGTTGGAAATTGTAAGCTCATCGAAAATTGGTTCATCCATTCCCGATGGAAGAGATAAAGTGGAGGAAAACTCGGACGATGAAGGGTTTCAAAAGGTGGAAAAGAGAAGGCACACAAGAAGTTGCTCGATGCCGATAATGGAGCAACCAACCAAGGCCAAGGAGAAACCGAACACAAGAAAAGAGACCGGAAAAAGCGCACAAACGAAGAAAGGGGGAAACCCCTCCTCTTCCCAATGATTATCGTCTCTTGGAATATTAGGGGCTTTAATGGGCCCCTAAAACAATATGAGGTAGCTAGCCTCATCAAGAAAAATAATATAGACGTACTTGGACTATTGGAGACGAAGACCGACAATAGGCGACTCTCTATCTTTATGCGAAAAAGGTTGCCGGGTTGGGACTTTTGCGATAATTTTCAAACTATTAACCATGGAAGGATTGCCGTCCTTTGGAACCCCATGAAAGTGAACATTAAGGTGGAGACCTCCTTACCACAAGTCATCCTCTTGGAAATCCATTGCAAGGTTAGCAACATCTCTTTTCACACTAGCTTTGTGTATGGTCTCCATACGAGGGGGGATAGAAAACTTTTTTGGAACGATCTTAAATCTTCTCGGAGTAGAATTTCCTTGCCTTGGTTGATACTTGGTGATTTTAATGCCATTCTTAAGCCGGAAGAGAGAATTAAAGGAAAGCGAGTCACCAACCGTGACACCATGGATCTTGTTGATTTATGTGACTCTTTGGGCCTAACCGATATTCCTTCTAGTGGCTTCTTTCACACTTGGACAAATAGTCATGTATGG